AAAAACCAAAAGGATATTCAACAGTCTTATAAGAAGTGGCGTAAGCCAGACGAGGTTAAGAAGGTTGATGGACAAGTGAACGAAGTTCAAGTTGTTCATGATGGGAGTTCTAACCAAAATTTAGTGAATCCAGGTTTGAATTAGTTCTCGATTCAACCGCTGGAGTTTTAAAAGAGAACAAAGCTTTAACTATTATGATGAAGATGGGATGGAAGCCTGGACAGACTCTTGGAAAGAAAAATAATGGATTACAAAAACCTATAAACATCAAAGGACAATTGAATCGTCATGGAGTTGGATATGAAGATATTGAAAAAGATTTAGTTAAGTTATTAAAAATTAAGTCAGAGTTGCCAAGAACTGAATTGTATGTTCAAACAGTGTTTGAAACTAATGATGATGTTGATTATCAAAAGGAACTTATAGGGAGTATGAGATCTGAAATTGATATAACTTTATATAATGAACAATTTATAGCATTACTTGATACTGGAAGTGATGTGAGTTGCATATCAGAAAGTTTATTTTTACAATTAAAAACTAGTAATCAAAATTTATCAATTTTACCTGTTAAAGCGTTACAAATTAGAGGAGCGATAGGACAACGAAGTACAAAGATTCAACAGATGATCATACTGCCTATTAAGATTGGTGAAATAGTCTTTGAGACTCAAATGTTAATTGTGAATAACTTAATAAGATCGATAATATTGGGCTTCGATTGGATGAAATTAAATAAAATTATAATTGATTTAAAGCATACTAAAGTTGGAATAGCATTTAGAATAAATGTTAAAGACTATTTCATACCGTTTAGAAATATATCAAAATCATATCTTTGTTCTAGTAATATAGAAAAGGAGGATATTTTAGAAAGTATTAAATTTGGGACCACTTTATCTGATTTTGATAAAAGCAAAGTGAAAGGTGTATTAAGTAAGTACAAGGATATGTTTACTGATAAATTAGGAAGAGCAAATTGTTATGAGCATAAGATTGAGATGGTTGATGAAATACCCATAGTTACACGATCGTATCCTATACCTTATGCATATAGAACAGCAATGGAAGAAAAGTTAATGGAATTAGAACAAGCTGGAATAATTACAAGGGCTTCAACGCCTTATAGTAGTCCATTAACTTTTACTTTAAAGAGGGATGGGTCAATAAGAGTCTTGTTAGATGCAAGAAATATTAATAAGAAAATGGTTGCTGAAACAGAAAAGCCACCTCTTCAATTAGATGTTTTAAATTCATTTCATGGTGCTAAATTTATAACAACTATTGATTTAAATAATGCATATTTTCAGATACCGATAAATAAAGAAGGCAAAAAGTATACAGGGTTCAATTTTAATGGCAAATCTTATGTTTATAATGTGTTACCGCAAGGGTTAAAAACTTCTGTGGGAAGTTTTAGTAGAGCAAGGAATTTAATATTGGGACCACAAGTACAAGATTTTTGTGTAAATTATTTAGATGATTTAGCTATAATAACGACTGGAGATTTAGATAAGCATTTGGAGCATGTTGATATTGTATTAAGTAAATTGAATCGAGCTGGTTTAACTTGTAATATTAAAAAGTGCGAATTTATTTGTAAAGAAATTAAAATGTTAGGATTCATTATCACAACAGAGGGTATTAAAACAGATCCTGAAAAGGTGCGATCGATACAAGAATTTCCTATACCGAGAAAGATAAAGCAATTAAGAGCATTTTTAGGTCTTTGTAATTTTTATAGGAGATTTATACCAAACTATAGTGAAATTATTATACCGTTATGTGAACTTCTAAAGAAGGGTCATAAGTTTACATGGAGCGATAAAGAGAATAAGGTTTTTAATTTGGTTAAGGAGAAATTTCTTAACACTATAAAACTTCATCATCCGGATTTTAATAAACCGTATTATTTACAAACTGATTGTTCTGGCGTTGGTTTGGCTGGTGTTCTATATCAATTAAATGATAAGAGTGAAATGCAAATTTTAAGTTATCATAGTAAAGCATTAAAAGGTGCTGAACTAAATTGGTCAGTAACGGAGCAGGAGTTTTATGCTGTTATAAGTTGTTTGAAAAAGTTTGAAACTTACTTAAGGGGAAGTAAGGTTTTTATTTTAACTGATCATAAAGCATTATTATTTATAAATAATATGAAATTATTTAATGGCAGAATTACAAGATGGATATTGTATATTGAGCAATTTCATTATGAAGTACAGCATATATCAGGGAAAAATAATGTTGTTGCAGATGTACTTTCTAGGTATCCTCCTGATGGTAATGCAGTACAGGAGAATAAAACTATTAGTTGCGATATAGCATATACAGAGTTAGAACGTAACGATGTTTTATTAGGAAAGTTAAGTTCTTTAACTATTTATCAAAAACAAGATTTATATCTTTTAGGTGTTATAAATAAATTAAATTCGATGAATAGTGATGGTGTTGAGAATGGAAGAAAGTTTAAGCGTTATTTATTAAAAGATGATTTATTATTTTATAAAACTGATTTAAAAGAAGTGTTGTGTTTACCAAAGGAGTTGCAAAGTGATGTTATTAATCAAGTTCATATTGAGATGGGGCACCAAGGAGCTTATAAAGTTATTAAATATGTTAGAGATAGATTTTTCTGGAAAGGCTTGTTTAAAGATATTAAAAGGCAAATTAAAAAGTGTCATATATGTCAGTTAGCTAGGAAAGATAATATAACTTATGTGGGTCCATGTAAATCAATAGTTACTAATAACATTGGTGACATGGTTATGGCGGACTTATATGGTCCTTTACCAAGTGGCAATTTTGGGTTTACTTTTATTTTTGTCATACAAGATTCATTTAGCAAGTTTGTTAAATTATATCCTTTAAAGCAAGCAACAGCAAAATCAGTGGTGACTAAGGTAAAGCATTTAATGGAGATAATTAAACCGAAAGCGATATTAACTGATAATGGTAAGCAATTTATTAGTAATCATTGGAAAGAATCTTTAAATGAATTAAATATTAAAACTATTTATACAACTGTTAGGAATCCGAGACCTAATACAACGGAGCGAGTAAATAAAGAGTTGGGTAGATTGTTTAGAACACTCTGTTATGCAAAGCATAAAGATTGGGTTTATGTCTTGCCAAAGATTGAAGAGTTATATAATAATTCTTTACATGATAGTACAGGGTTTAGTCCTTGTGAAATTTTATATGGCGAAAGTAATAAATTAACTTTTGATGATGTTATAATAAAACATAGAGAAAATTTAAATGTGGAACAGGTGAGGGAACAGGTTCGTAAGAATCTTAGAAAGTTTAGTTGCATACGACAAGTTAAATTCGATAAGAGAAATAGGTTGATCAGTTATAATATTGGCGACTTAGTCAAAATTAGAAGATCAACTCGATCAAGTGCTGAAAATAAACAAACAAACAAATTTGATTTGGCTTATGAAGGACCGTATATTATTGCCTCAATACCATTTGATAATGTGTATAATTTAGTTAATCCTCAAACAGGTGTTGCTCGAGGAAAAATAAATGCTATGCATTTATTAAGATATTATAAGTAATGTTAATTAGAATATGCTGGATTTATTTTGTGTTGGAAACGAAAATGTTTTTTTTTTTTTGTTAACTGTTATAATTAAGATTTTATGTATGTTGCATTGTGTTATAATAAAGAAATTTGGGATTGGGCGAATGACTCAATCACATTTATTGGAGTTGATGGTTAG